CTTGAAGCGCTTCCGGACGAACCAGATGCTTTCTTTACTTACACGGGGAGCCAACATGATGGGAATTGGCAGGGACAACTTCAACCCTACTACTTACTTGAAGAGCGACAGGGATGAAGATGTAAAGGCTATGCACTTTTGTTGCCTGAACGTCCTGTGCGAGGTGATTCCAATGGTGACGGGACACCAACAATTCTCAGTGCTACGACCAACGCCAACTGGACCAGTGGACTTCTTGTACATCGACCCCGTCGGTATTCTGCTGACTCATTCTGATCAGTCAGTCCAGACCATCGGCCTTCTGGTGGACCACAGTGTGCAAATGCCTGCGCATTTCATGGACAGATTGAACAGATCCAAGGCTGAGAGACAGCAAAACCCGACGACCAAGCGTACGGAAGCCCTACACCACATTTCGGCCGCTGACTATCTTCCTCCAGGTGGTACATCCATCCTGGACACGCCTGTCACTACGGAGGAACGTGAAAGCGCTTCTTCATCCAAGGGACCTTCAAAAGGGCGTGGAAGAACCGGAGGCGAGCAACATGGTGGCTGGAACACCAATTCCTACCACGACTACATCGCCGCCAAAGGCCGAAACAAAGGCAAAGACAAAGGAAAGCCGAGGAACCAGTATCCAGAGGAGAACCTCCGGCCCTGGGACCGCGATCCTACGTCAACGCGAAGATGGTGGCGAGACAACGCCTAATCTTCCTCGCCTATCAGTTCGTGACCTCTGAGCTTCGCCCATGGAATGCCATCGCGAATGCTTCTTTCTTCGGTGACGCCTGATTCGTTTGTCATTTCAGGGGATCGTTACTGACGTAGATGAGTGTCACAACGTTTCTAATTGGGATGCAAAGCTCTGATTTTCAATGTCAACGTTGCGGCGGAACATTTTCTGTTGTCCTATCGTGCCATCTTCCGGGTGAGCAGCGTCGGAGACGCAACTCATGGGGGGTGCGAACGGACTGCGATGCCTTGTCAAGTTCTAAGGTGTCACTATAAGAGCTGTGAGCAAGACCGTGTAAAGTGCAAGAGAAGGGGGCACGCTACGCGTCCCTCGACTCTAGGGGGCATGCTACGCATCCCTCATCTTTACCTTTCTATGTGACCGCCAACGCAACGTTTGGCTCAAGTCAATGCCCATAGCTAAGTGCTATATGTGTCTTCTATCCTGAGCAATCAGAGCTATCCCGTTGCACAGACGAACCGCCGCCGGCAGTGAGTGCAAAAGGAACGGCCGCCGGTTCTGCCTGCATAGGATTGCACGTGTGGAAGTAAGAGGGAGAGACAGGGTCCAGTCTGTGGAGAGTGCTAGCCAGCCACACCTACATTCATTACAGCTCTGGTGGGGAGAGCAGCAACCAAGTCGAGATCAATCCCCCACGCATAAAAAATATCCACTTTCATTTGCTTTACCTATTCCTACCTCTGCACTTGTTAAGCTTCCTAATCTCATTCTATTAGAATTGTTAGATGCTGAATTATCATTTAGTATCATAATATTTCCATCTCCTTCATTAGCATTAGTGCATCTTAAATTATTATTAATATATATCCATTGTGCTGTTCCGTCTCTAATTCTTAATGTTGGGTCTGTATTGTTTGAAATTCTCCATAATTGAATACCATTAGTAGATACTGGAAGAAATACAGTATCATTATTAAATATTGTTGCTTCCTCTATAAATATTTTTTTATAGAATACTGTTCCGTTTGTTGTATTGTTGCATTCTAAATATGTGTTTGTGTCAGTATCGTCATTAGTTCCGTTAATTAACCTTATTCCACTTGAGGTTTCATTTATTGATAAATCTAATGTAATATTAGATTTTGTAGCGTTTGTATATCTTTCAATACTTGTGTTACTATCTACTAATTCAATGGGATTAGTAACGCCACCTCCACCGCCTCCACTAATTAAACCGTCTACTTCTGTTTTATTATAATATGACGTGGCAATTTGTGCAGATGTTAAATAATCATTAGTCAAAGTTGATAATGTGGCATATGGTGTTAATGCTGTAGCATCTATCCAATTATTAGCATCAATTTCTGTTTTATTATAATATGATGTTGCTATTTGTGCAGATGTTAAATAATCACTTGTTAATGTAGATGTTAGAGCATATGGAGCTAGTGATGTGTTATCAATCCAATTATTAGCGTCTATTTCTGTTTTAGTGTAATAATCATTATTTAACTGTGTGTTATTTTTATAATTATTAGTTAAATTTGTATTAATAGCATTTATAGAATTAAAGTTATCTAATGCTTTAGTATCTACAACGCCAATAGCGCTATCAACTTCTGTTTTATTGTAAAAATTAACATTTAGTTGTGCTGTTGCTTGAAAATTATTAGCAAGATTATTATTAATATCAGTAATTACTAAATTCTGACCATCATTGACTGCAATAATTGGATTTACTGCATCATCTAATTGTTGTTGTGTTATTCCACCTCCTCCATTACCTACATTAATATTTGATATCTCATTGTCTACATAATTTATTGTAGCATACAAAGAACTGATATCAGTTCCATTAACAACAACCCTATTCGCTGATACAGTATTGGTATTATTTAATGTCAATGTCATTATTAAATTAATTTAGATAATTAATTTAACAATGTTTAATCATAAACTTTAAGCCCTAAATCTTTTATTTCAAGTATCTGTTCTGAAAGCATTGTAATATACATCGTATCCGGCATTTCATCAGCTGGAATTGTTGCTCCTGCTGGTTTTACTCTTAATAACATCTGTTGTCCTGCTCTTGTGTTAATTCCTGTGTATGAGCTATCTGGAACTTTTTCAAATGAAAAAGCAAATATAAACTGACGGTCACGATATTGTTTAAAGTTAATATTCAAACTGTGTTGATGAAACATAGGTAAATTAAGTGCTTTCCGTAAATGGTAAAAACACTGAGTAATAGAATTACAAGGATATTCAGGATATAGTTTTGAACCTAATTGAATTTGGAACTCTAAATCTTTGTTTTTGTCATAAATACCTTGGTCTAATGCATCGTGTTGTTGATGAGGATGATAAAATCTACAAAATTCTTTGTCACAGTATTCATAGCCAGTGCTTGGACGACTTTTATCATTACCAGCTTCATATTTCTTATAGAATGTAACAAAAGTAGCAACAAGTTTAGAAACTGAACGGATTACAGGAACGCTTATATCAGTTAAACCTTTAATATTTTGAGACTGAGTAATAAAAGTTGTATAAGTTATGGGAAGCCCTTTTGATTCTCACAAATGTTTACTGTATTCGTTATTAAGATTTGAATCAAGTGTACACAAATCGCACACAACCCTTGGGTTGGAAATTTCAAAGTCAATTGCTGTATTTGTTGCCTTACCTACATCACCCGCTTCATTAACAGTAAAACGATTTACTATATCTGCTGTTGGAAATGCTCCGTCTGCACCAGCTGTTGTAAAGTCATTAGGGTTAATGATACAATCAGTAGCATTTGTTACCAGTTCTAATTCAATTGTTAAATTACCCATGTATTTCAATGGTAAATATTTAAATTGTGAAAATAAACCACATAAAGGTTTAAATCCGACAGTCATTTCATTATAAAAGCCTTGACAATTGGAAGCGTTAACTTCATAAGTCAAGGCAGTATTACCAGCGTTATTTACTAATGTTAGTAATTCATCATCATATCTATAGCCAAAGCTTTCATTCGCTTTATCTCGTCTTGCTCCTTGTGACATCATGTTAGAAAACATATGATGGACGCGGTTGTAATTATCAAAATCTTCAAGAATCTGAGAACCAGCAATAATTCTCATTCTTCTGAAAAAGCAATAAGGAGATGATAAAGGACGGACTTTTTTGAAATTACCACCTTCTTTATTACTCAGAGTAAAAAATATTCTTACACTTTGTGGGTCTAACCATGTGTTATCTTCACCGTTCAATGAAAATTTTAATACCCTTGCCCCCGATGACGGTTTATAAACATTAGAAGTTGAAGGAAAGAAGGAGACGCTCCTTCTATCAACTATATATGAGCTACCTTTATTCAATTTAAATGACAGGTTGTCAATTAGAATATCTTCTGGGCTGAACGATTCCATAATTATATATACATTGATAGAAAAAAAAACTAAACTATATTTGATTAAATATTTTTTAAAATTTAATCAAATAGTTTAAATTTGTATGGATTTTCTTTATTATTTTTCTTTTTGTTATTAACATCTTTTACTATATCATTTCCTTCATTATCTTCTACTAATTTTCTGATTTCTTCATAGCTGTTTTGTTTAAACTTCTTCTCCTTCGGTTGTTTCTCCAGTTTCTCGTAAGTTTTATTTTCCACGGAGCTTTGCTTTATTTCTGAGGTAAGATTCCAATCATAGTATTCCCAAGCTATATGGGAAAAACAAAGTATATAAAGAATAAGAAAATTGCTCAAGCAGATGTGGCGCTTTTTCCTTCCGGCAAAGCCGAAGGGGGAAGTCGTGACATCCCCGCACCGATCGATGGCGAACACGAGGATCGCCAACGAACACCCCGGGAGTGGAGGGAGGGACAAAAATTTCCGGCCCTTTGGCCAGGGTGCAGCTACCCACCCATCCCACCCCTGTCTCGAGGCGGCGCGGGAAATAAAAGAGATGAACTCAGACGATTCAAAGCATGCATTCATGCCATGAAATGTGGTTCAAATTAAAGCAAAGGCGTTTTGAAAACTTCGCAGTAATTTTCAAAACTCTCCTAGGAAAATAAAGCTAATAGAGGCAAGCCTCATGTGTCGCTTATTTTCCACGGAGCTTTGCTTTATTTCTGAGGTAAGATTCCAATCATAGTATTCCCAAGCTATATGGGAAAATCAAAGTATATAAAGAATAAGAAAATTGCTCAAGCAGATGTGGCGCTTTTTCCTTCCGGCAAAGCCGAAGGGGGAAGTCGTGACATCCCCGCACCGATCGATGGCGAACACGAGGATCGCCAACGAACACCCCATTCACTTAAGAAGGAGATCAATCGTGGCATTGCCTTTGATCGGGCATCGAGGCGACACTCTGCACACCTGCCCCCTGACTGGAAAGATTGACTTAGCTCTCGAAGGAGGATCGGCCGGATTACTTGCACTTGGAACGCGGCTAAACCAAGGAAGCATCGCCTCAGCGTCGCAGCTCTCAAAGATCAGCAAGAGTTGCCTCCACAAAGGGTCTTTCGAAGAGCCCTTCACCAAAGAGGCCAACACTCCGGAGTGATCCACATACATGGTCACCCTTTGCATGTCCAAGTGCTTTGCCCAAGCTTCTCTCGCACATACCACTGCATACATCTCAACTGGGCCTATCAAATGCCTTTTCCCGAGAGCCTCCCAGCTCTGTACAACGCTCAAAGGGATAGCACATGCAAAGAAGAAAGTGCACCACGCGCCGTTGTCGAAATGGTACAAGACTCCTCCGACAGTGGCGGGGTGAGTTTCACTCGTCGGCTCGTACGCTCCATCTGTGAAAATCACAGAACGACGAGACCCCACACAAGCCGGGACTATCCTAGGGGTACCCCCAAGAACCCGGGACCTAAGATTACAAAGGGCCTGCACAGCCGTGGCATCAAGGGTTTTGGCCTGAGAACTCATCGTGCACGCCCTGAGGTCGGCCAGTGCCAATCTGCCCAATCGCCCGTGAAGCTGACCCTCTGCAAACTGCAAGCGACCGAACAATGATGGCAGAGTCTTCGGATCAAGATGGCCCGCTTTCAAGACGGAGTCCACTGCGTCAGCAATGGAAGTTGCACGTTCGGGCTTATTCCCAATCTTAACTACCCCAAAGCAACCAAGGTCAACCCGAACGCCTAAAAGCTCAGCCTCATGGCTGAAGGGAAGATCCTTATCTTCTGCCCATGTGAAACCCAACAGGTCCAGCACAGCTCTGATAGTTGACTGCGTGTTGTTGCAAAGCGGCAGGACCTCCAACACCGGATAGTCGTCGAAGTAGTTGCAGGCGAGCACCTGCAAGGCAACCAGAACCCTTTGGAGCAGTCTTGCAACGCGATTGAATGAGACCACCGACGAGGTGGCCCCAAACAGAAGGGTTCGGCTCTCGAAGCCAAACGCAAGCCCCGAGACCGGGTCCTTGATGGCCACTATGCTCAGACAGCGGTCTCGTGGAGAAACCGCCAACTGTTTATAAGCACTCTTCAAGTCCACTGTTTTCAAGCTCGGCTGAAGCGCCTCGGGTTTCAGGGCCCTCCAGAAAGAATGCACCGGAAAGCGAAGATGGTCACCGTCCGACAACGGGATGCTCACCTCGCCTTTTGCAAGGAAGATCTTGAAGAGGGTGATCGCAAGCCAGACCAACTCGTCAAGGGCCCTCAAAGAAATCCGATCGGAAACAGCGTAAGCGCAGTTTACAGAGTTCTCGGCCAAATCGTCGATCGACCTCGTCTTGGCTTTTTGCACAATGCCGAACCTCCGCACTGGAAGCCAGCCTTCTGGGTGACGGGCTTGCAGCTCGTCCCACGAGTAAGGCCCGGTTAGCCACTCCTTGACTAGCATCTCTTGCTGTGTGGAATCCCACACTTCCCGAGCTAAATCATCCACCTCCGCATTCGCCACCTTCGCCCACAGCGCAGGCCTAAGGAATTTAGCATGCTGCACAAGCTCTGCCCTTGTCATCAGAGCCGGCTTTCTGTCCACGTCGAAGATGCCAGAAGGACTCGACTCCCCCACCAAAGGAAAACCATGCTTAAGGTGTTCGAAGACTTCAGTGTCAGGCCATCCGAAAGACGATGCAATTTTTTCCAAAAGCAAAATATTCTTGCCCTTCATAACAGAAGCCACACCAGGATCCATGGCAGCATGCAGCTCTGCTTCGGCACCAGCCAAATCGCGTTTCCAAGAAGTCCACTGCTGGAGCAAATTCAGACGGTGCTTCATCACACCAACCGGGCCCTCTTTCAAGGTAAAAGCCAACGCTCTCAACATGAAGTCTGGGACTGCCACGCACAAGTCGAAGGGATGATCGATATGCAATGCCTGAGCCACAAACTCTTGTTCCGTGCGGTAAATGCCAAAGGTAACTGCTGAAGGCACACCTGACAGGCTTCCGACCTGTTTCGCACCGACGACCCCCCGATCACACACAACGCGAAGAAGGCGGGAGCCAGGAGGGATCGACCCTACGGCACAGGTGAGATTGCCCTTATTATCCAAAGGAAGGGGCCACGGAAACTCACGGACCGTGGCTTGGCACTTAAACTCGGCGATCTGCGGCTGGAATTTTGACAATCGCGGCTGCCGCCCAGCGGCTGCGACGGCAGAATGCCGCGAACTCTGCAGTGGAAGAGCATGCTCAAGTAAGAGGCCAGATTGGCCAACCGCCAGCTGCAGGAGGCCAGCAAACACATCACAGAATTTCGAAGTGTACAAGGCATCTGGCGAAAGCGAGCCCGCAACATGGGGCCCGGGGCGACAACGACATGCTGGCACCGGCATGCCAGCCAGCGCGGCCTGGGTTGTGCACAGACGCATTTTGACAGGACTGGGAGCCCCGTAGCAACCTGCACAGAAGTCCACGCAATGGAGGTTGTCGGGCAAGTCGAGCTGTTTCCACAGGACTGACGCCAGGGGATGCAAGACACTCCAATGCGAATCAGATGCAAGCAAGAGTTTGGCGATGCGAATGGTTTGCCCGGCGCAAAAAGTAGCCTTGAAACAATCCTTGGTCGCAGGAAAGAAATGCACGTGAAAAGGGGCATCGTGGCTGATGACAGTCTGCACAAAGGAGAAACCCGACTCCGTTTCAATGTCCACCGGGACAAGGTGAGTGTGCACTCGCCCAGCGGGGCGAGAATGTTCAAGCGCTATGATTTGAAATCCGTCCCGCCGCACCCGAGCCGGCAGCAATCCGGACCCACACTTTATCTCGACATAGAGAGCAGAACCGGGCTTCAAGGGACTAGCAGGGTCGCTCACAGGTTCCTTAGGGTCAACGGCGGGGACAACCGAAGCGGGCAAGGGCCTAAGCGACTCCTGAGCTACGGGGGAGGTCAAGGATGGCGGCTGACGAGCACACGCTTCAGCAGGCGCCAACCGCGCGCCCTCGGGCGCGCATTTCGGAACATCAACATGACACTCGCGGAGAAAGTCAAGATGTTCCTTGCACAGCGATTCAACATGACGGATGGTGAATGCAACCAGCAAGACTCTACGGCCCTGCCACGCCTCGGTGTAGTGCCAATTGTGTCTGGCATTGAATCGGACAGGGCCCTTAGCAACCTGCAAGCGAGAGCCTCGTGCACCATTAAGGTCGGATACGTCTCGACCGTTTTCATGCTCCACAAAGATAGCTCCACCTGAGAAGTCAGTCAGTGCAATCGCCAAGTTATGCAAGTTGGCATTCCACTGATCTCGATGGCGCTCAGTGCGAACATCCTCAAATATATTTATCGAAGAAAACTTAAACCCCGGAGCACGCTGTCTCACAAACCTTGCAAAGACTTTGAGCGCCTCCGGGTTGGCTGAGGCATTGGCCTTCAGGCCTACATTACCACCAAGAACATACGCTCCCGTGGCATAAGATTTCGAAGTTGGGAGAGGTGCATCGGCACCCCTCTTCAAGGCATCCGAAGGAAGACCATCGAAAACCCGCAGAACATCGGCGGCACTCACATGGCCCTCGTCATGTGAAGAACCTCTCTGCGACTGTGCCCCATCACGGGGCCTCGGGGACCTGCTGCGTGCGGCCTCCACCACACCTGGTGATGGCCTGGAGATGGCACTGTGAGAGCCAACGTTGTGCATGTGATGATCCTCTCGATCAACACCTGACTGCAGACGACACTCCACACCACTCGGAGGAGAGCCGCCGGCGCATGCATTGCTCGGCCGATGAACTCCCTCTAGGAGATCATCCACCTGTGAGGCTCCCGCTGCCGGCTGATGCACACTCTCTGGAGCACCGGCCATCAGCGACGCACCCTCGTGACCCGCTAGTCACGAGCCACCCTGAGCCCGCTTTGGGCACTGCGCTGCACCATGATTGTGAGCACCGCACTTAGGCACTGCGCAAATGTGCAGGCCTTTCTCGCACTTCTGCCCTTTGGTAGGGCAGCCTCCCAGATTGAATGCAAAACAGATTGGGTCACCACGATTGGTGTGAGACCTGCAGCCCTCCAGGCCGGCGGGCAACCTTGTCATGAACCTCTGCTTACCTTTCTTTCCTTTGCCTCCACCTTTGTTGTAAGGAGAAGGCCTCTCCCACTTGGGAGCATCCGGCTTCTGGGGAACATCTTTTAGGGCAGGGGCCGGAAAAGGTTGCAATAAACATGACACTTCGTTCATGTACATCGCATCTGGCAGAAGTGTGTCCAACGGGCGACCCGATGCGACAGTCTGCACTCCTGCCCTGGTCTTATCACGAAGCTCGGCAAACAGCTGCCGATCTGCCGACTCAAGTTGCTTCCAAGTGGGCCTGGCAAAATGCTCCGCAGGCGCTTGCATGCGGGCCTTCATCAAGCGTTGAGTCCACTTATCAGCAACACTGAACTCGATCAGGTTCGCCTGATCCATGGCCAAAGCTCTCCTGGTGAGAGCCTGCTGAACAAGAATCTCCGATGAAGTATCCGCAACCAGATCAGGCTGTTTGTGCTCGATCCGAAGCTTTCCCGAAGACTCCTCAACAGTGAACCTGACATCGCGTTTCTTCTCGCCAGCCAGTTCAGCTTCCTTGGACACACACCGGTCCCACGGAATGTACCTCAGCTCATTTGCCTCATAGGAAGCCACAGCAAGATCAACAAGTGCATCGGCAGGCTCCAGAGGCCCTTTCAGTGAAATCCCGACAAGCTTCTTGGCCTGCCGCTCGTACCTCTCAGACCTCTCAGGCTGAGACAAAGGCCTGACGGTCGACTCTGGGTCGGCCTTCTCAATCCTCTGCTTCATTTCCGCGGTCACAATGGCAAAAGCTTCATTGTAAACCGCACGCCAATTAGCCTTGTCTGCAATTGTCAAGTCTCGCTTCAGAATGTCTTTCAACACCTGCATCAGCGGCCCCTCGTCAGTCTGGCCAGGTGTGAAAGAAGAAATGAACGCCAGCCTCCTCAAGTTTCCCACCTCTGGCAGGATTTTCTGAACGTCATCTTCTGCGAAACCCACGACACTCAATCGCGACTGCAGAACCGATTGACTCTCAGAGTAGTTAGCCATCGTCAGGAGCAGGAACCGAGCTAGTGAAACTCCTACAAATTGCTGAAAGTCCTCAGAACACTCTCGAATCCGCACCTCGTGGCCTGAGCTCTGACTTACCAGGTTCAAGCACAGACTTCCTAAGACTGAGCCGACTTCTCATGAACGCGATGCTTGCTTCCGACTGATGCATGTCACTCGAAAACTACAAATCGCACACACTCCTGGAAGCACTCAGCCTAAGCGCGCAACGCACAGAAACTCAGAAACTCCTTTTCACTGCACTCCTCAGCATCACTTCTTAGGCGGGCAACAGCTTCGACACAGCGGAAACAAAATTCGAGGAACGGAAGACAACCTTTCATACCTGGTCGATATGCTTCTTCCGCATCTGAACTTGTCGCCTTCTTCGGATGCGACAGCATGGATGAAACGGCTGTCTCTGTTCCTGAACAAAGGGACTGCTTCAAGCTCGGCACGCAAGCCTGCATCGGGCTCCCATTGCCTTCCCAATTCGTCGGTGGCCGCCTCCGCAGCTACATGATCGACATCCTCGGCATCCTCGCTGGCCTCGGAAGAAGATTCCGACAAGACCTCCTCAGGAGGAATGGGCATCCCCTCTGGATCTTCAAAGCGCTTCACGAAGTAACCGGACCTGGTGGCGTCCGGCATGAACCTTTCGCGCGACACCTCGAGCAGAACCCCTTGCAGCTGGCGCACAGGAGCAGACATGTTGTCTCTCCCATAGATGAGCTCGGTCCCATCACGGCCCCTGGCGTGGTAGCCTAGGGCCGCTCTCACCTCACGGGATAGTCCGAATTTGGCGCTCCAACTCAAGGTCGTTGCCTTGAGACTATGCGTCCCAAGCGGTTCAACGGAAGACCTGTCGCAACCCGCACGGATCAAGAGTGACTTCATCCATTTCGTGGCACTCGCCACCGCCAGCGGCGATGTTTGCCACCCTCCGCCAGAGAGCGGGCTCGGAAGCAAGGGCTTGCCCGACCCCAAAGGAGGCCCATGCTCCTTATAGAACTCAAACCACTTGACACCCCAGGGCACCTCACCTATACCTTGGATGGGAGCAAACATGTGCAAATACCTGACCTTTCTTTCCAGAGAGAACGAAGTCTTGCTTCGCTCAACAGCGGACTCCAGGTATCCGACTGTGCCGTCCGGCGTGTCGCTTAAGTCACAAGTCATTGCACCTGCAGCTTGGGCATCCGAGTACCTCGCTCGTGCATACAAGGTCCACACGAAGAAGCCAGCAGCGACCCGGTCTGAAGGCTCTAGCACGATCGAGCCGGAAGCGATGGCCTCCAGTTTCCGCACATGATCAACTTTGAGCGACGGCTTCTGCCGAGTCTTCCTCTTTTCAAGATACAGCTTCGACGACAGCCCACGGACCCTGGGGCTGAAGACTTCATCACTCACTTTCAAGCTCACAGTGAACTTTGCAAAAGCAAGGCTGCTCAAGAAACTCCTGGCGAAAGTGGGCGCCTCGTGAGATGCATAATCCTGTAGGAAAGCATAGATCCCTGCTTCAGTGACAGGGAAAGGAACAACCTGGCAACTTCGGCAGTGCTTGATGTACCTGGCAAGGGGCCCAGCACGGCCTGAGATCGTGACACTCGCCTTTTGGGAAAACACATCTTGCAAAGACGACTTCAAGTCAGAGTCTCGCCCGTTCTCCTTATCTAGCCGAATCGACAAAGAAAGACCGAAATCGTCGGGGAACCTTTCAAGAATCCCTAGCCACTTTGCCAAAGCTGCTTCCCTCGCCTCAGAGAGTTTCTGATCCCAGCTTTGTCCCGGCACACTCGGAATCTTCACTTCAGCAAGCCTGAGTGACTCAAGCTTTCCCGAAGACGACTTCACCGGCCCTGCGGAACCGGCCGGCCCCACTGGCGCTGACACAATGCATCCCCCTTTGGCGAAAGGCGAGGGCAAAGCGGGCATGTCAAGAAATGTAGAAGCTATTTCCCACGGCATCTTAACTGTGCTTCCAAGCCCTCGGGATGCAACACGCGTAGCTGACACATGGTGACCCTCATAAGCCCCATGCACGCGAGCCTTCTTGAGGCTACTTTCAAGAGAGTCGTCCCCTGACATGCTGGCTGCAAACTCGGCCTCGTCAGGCCAGCATGGCAAACGCTACACCCCACTACAAAATTTTCCGGCCCTTTGGCCAGGGTGCAGCTACCCACCCATCCCACCCCTGTCTCGAGGCGGCGCGGGAAATAAAAGAGATGAACTCAGACGATTCAAAGCATGCATTCATGCCATGAAATGTAGTTCAAATTAAAGCAAAGGCGTTTTGAAAACTTCGCAGTAATTTTCAAAACTCTCCTAGGAAAATAAAGCTAATAGAGGCAAGCCTCATGTGTCGCGTCGTTTTGTAGTGATACATTATTACTATTATTTAGATTTTTTAATGCATCTAAATGATATTTTCTTTGTATATGATGTGCTTTATCAAATTTAGGATATTCGCGACTACAAATTTCACATATTATCTTAACTTTATTCTTCGCTACCCAATCTTTGTGTTTGTTATATGATTGTTCCTTATTCTCTTTGTAATATGACTTGTTATATTGTGTTTTCTCTTCTTTTCTTGAATCACGATATGCTTGTATTTCTTCTTTGTGTTCTTCGTTATATTTTTTATGTCGTTCATTAATCCTGACAACTTTCAATCGTGATTGATTAGTCTTTATTCTTGCCCAAAAACCTTTTGAAAATTTTGGGTGCGAAAATTTTCTGTCTGCATGTCAATCGTTGTTCGCCATACACTTTGTTCCCACGAAGCCTTCTTGGCTGAGGTGGGAGGTGGGAAACCCTAGCAACTTTCAAGGCCATATGGCTTGGTTTTGTTTTGTTGCTAGGGGTGTGTGTGTTAAGAAACCAAGTCAGCCTGCGAATTGAGCCATGGCTGACTCTGGCAGATCAAAGTTCCCACGGCTGGACGAGCCTACGAGCGACTTGGGGCGCTTGTATGAGCGGGCATTGAGTGAGGCAAGTGTGCAGCTTGCGGGTCAGGCTACCTTGAAGTTACCCTGGGAGAAGGGCATTTATGCCGAGATTTTCAGTGGTAGCGAGCTACCTAGGATGCCTACCTTACCTGTGCCTGCTACACTTCCAGTCGTAGATGTTGCAAGACCTGGAACCCAGCACAGCGAAGCCTTGAAGCAGACATCAGATCCTCTGCCAAAATTCGAGAGTGCAGTCTACAAGCACTGTCTGCATAAATCAACTATTGCTGCTGGCGGGAGACCCGGGACAGATCGAGATGCCGTCTACAGGCGCTGGCTTTGTATCTTGGGCCACAATCTTGCTGGCTCTAAGATTGGAGAGTACATTGCTGATGGTGCCGAAGACCCTCTTGTTTTGATTGCGGACACCTTTGGAGGGAAAAGTACGAGCACCTTGCTTAAGAGAGCCAGGTTTGTCGCCCGGATGCTTACGTGGGCGTCTGAGCATAGTCAGACGTTTTTTCCGCTGCGGCTTGGACCATTGCTTTCATTCATGCGCAGTTTGGCATCAGAGAGTGCCAAGGCCCAGTGTGGAGAGACAATCAATTTCCTTGTGCATGTCCTTGGTGTGCATGCCGATCTGGATATTTTGAAGCATCCTGTAATCCAAGGGCTTCTACGGGGGTCTCGGTCAACAGGGAAAGAGATCAAGCAGTCCAGGGTACTCACTGTCCGGGAAGTTATGGCGCTCGAAGATATGCTCAGTGATGCATCCCTTGATCCTGTTGATCGATATGGTGCAGGAGTTTTTCTCTTCCAGATTTACAGCCGGGCACGAGTGTCCGACATCAGGAACATCCATCGCTTTGAGCTCGACCTGAGTGGAGATGACGGATACCTTGAGGCGAAAACGATGGACCACAAGAATGCGACCAGAGGACGTGGGCTGGGGCAGAGCTTGATTCTCGTTGCTCCGGTTCAGGGCCTGCGGGATAAGGCGTGGGGTATCCAGTTCATCGAGGTTGCAAAGATGGTTGGGTTCAACCTTCGACAGGGGCATCGTGGACCTTTGTTACCTAGACTTACTGCCGAGGGTCAGTGGTCAGGGGAGGCGATCGGGTCTGATGAGACTACATCGTGGCTCAACGGTCTGTTGAATCGCGCTATGAGTGAGCAGATTGCGTCAGGGCTAACATCCCATGGATTAAAGGCAACAACCCTTTCCTGGATGACGAAGGCCGGGTATCCCGAAAAGTCTTGCCTCATTTTGGGACATCACGCGAGAGCGGGGAAGAAAACTCTTTACACATACGGCAGAGACGTGCAAGCCAAACCATTACGTGAACTACAAGATTGCATTCGTCTCATCAAGCGTAATGTGTTTGCTCCGGACTCGACTCGAAGTGGCATGTTCAAATCAGGCGAGAGCAGTCATGAATCAAAGGCTGAGGTTACAGATCCTCTCATTCTCGCTGCTGAACAGTTCCGGTTTGGCGATCCTGATGAAAACATTGACACTGGAGGCGATGTCGGCAGTGAACACGAGCCCTTGCTCGAGGAAGGAAAGCCGGCTGACAATTGTGATGCTGAGCCTGAGCAGGATGCTGAGGATTCCGACTCGAGTACCTCTAGTTCTTCAGGTTCCTCTGATGACCATGCCGAAGCTTATGAGAGTTTCGCCAGTGATGCTGCCTTTGATTGTGCTGTGCCTCACTTAAACAAAGAGGTGGACTTGGATGTTTTCCAGAACCCCAAAACTCTTTCCCTCCATACCCGGGCGAAGGGTTCCGATGGCCCACTTATGTGTGGCCGCAAAGCTGAGGGAATGAAGATTTTTACAAGTAGGGTATACAGCAAGTTTTGGATGTGTAAGCAGTGTGAGCAGGCTCGACCGCTCAGGGACACGAAAGCTGTCGTTGCATACCTGAGCAAAGTTGCCAATCCCAAGAGTGCAGGACCTAGTGGTCTTCATTGAGGATGGCGAGGGCTATGGGCCAGCACAGCGCTTTGCGCGTGCACTCGCAGTTTTGGAGAACATGTGATGGGAAAATTACGCGAGGGCTCCGGGCCTGCATCGCACAGTGTGCCTGCGCTCGCGAACTTGTGCAAATCGGATTTGCGAAGGTTGGGCGAGGGCTTCGGGCCTGCACAGCACATTGTGCTTGCGCTCGCAGTTTACTATCGTCTACTTTGTGATGGGCTGGGCGAGGGCTTCGGGCCTGCACTGCACTTTGTGCCTGCACTCGCGAACTTGTGCAAACCGATGTGGTGGCTAAGAGTCTGCTTACGTCGTGTGGTGGCTACGGGCCTGCACGTCGTCCTGAGGACGAGTGCAACCACATGACAGGAATCCTTGACTGGCGTGAGTACCGAATTGAGCCCAAAAGGTGTGTGGAACGTGGTGATGACACGTTGGTCACCCATGTGTGATTACGACTTGTGGGCAGCAGCGAGCTGAATGAATAGAGCCGTCTTATGCGCAAAAGACCAGCAGTAGTGTGTCGGCATGGCGGTTCCACTGACAGAGTCCAAGGCCGTGTTCTTGGAAAGATGTGAGACGGCCGGATTGCCAACGCCGATTCGGGACATCTTGGTTGGCAAGAATCTCAGTACCTTGGCAGGTCTTGCATTCGCAGCGGGGCAGCCGGGGGAAACACCGAGTGATGCAGCGCTTACCGGCCTGGCGAGATCCGGCACGGAGGAAGTTCCAATAGCGACCCTAGCCTCCTTGAGGCGGTTGGTGTTTGAAGCGCAGCTCCTCATGACCGCGCAGGTGAAGATGCTGATCGAGCATCGTGCCGATGACCAAAAGGCGGAATTAGCACCCGCAGAAAGATCGGAGCGAATCCAGAAGCAGAGCGAGCGCCTGGCCGGTGTTGCACTCCGCAACGAGTCAGAGTGCTCCTATGGGTCATACGATTTGGTCATGAAGATGGTCCAGGAGAACTGTGTCTCCTACTTGTCTCCAGCTAGGTTTCCGTCTCGGCAGGCCGAACTTCGTCTGGAGAAACCTCGAAAGGAGCTTGATGTGGTCAACTCAAAAATCACTTTGAAGGACCAGGCAGTCGATCTTCAATGCCAGCTTCACACGCCGCTGTGCCTGCATCATGCTCTTCATCGACGGGCACTTGCAATGGATCTCGTTGGGGTAGCCAGCTACAGTGTGAGCATGGAATTTCACGAGTACTTGATGTCACACCTTACCATGGAGCCACCGCCTGGCTATCATCAAGTCACACTGCATCAGGTTCTAGCAGCTGACCGAGCCGCTTGGTTGCGACTCGCGGAGAAACTTCCTAAAGGGCTTCGTGCTGGTCCCGATGGGAAACTCCCGCTGGATATCGAGCTCCCGAAATTGCAGGGCGACCCGAAAGTGGCTTTTCATCTCTTACCTCTGGGACCTTCTGCTTCATCATCCGGGAAGCGTTCGATGGATGGCGACCAGGGCCAGAACAACGATTCGAAGATCCAAAGGACTGGAGGCAAGGGTAAAGGGAAGGGCAAAACCAAAACTAAAGCCTTTCCTAAGTCTATGCCTGTGTCCCTCAAAGACAAGTGGTCGCGAACCAAACGCGGTGTTCCGATATGCTGGGCCTTCAACACGGAAGAGGGCTGTAGCTCAGCTCCAGCTGGAGGCAGATGCCCGAGGGGTGTCCACCTTTGCGCTGAACCTAACTGTCAAAAACCCCACTCGATCGTCAATCATGCAAAGGTTGCCAGTGGGTGAACTTTTCAGAACGCAGGTTGTGACTTGATTGAATCACTGGAGGTTTTCCTTAACCGGGCTAGGGCTCGGGTAACTGGTGTTTCGATCGAGGCACTCTTTGGAGTTGAAGTTTTTGCAGGGTCTGGTCGCTTGACTTGCGAGCTCCGCAGGCTGGGGCTTAATGATAGTATTGGTGTTGACAAGAATGTCGGCCGATGCTTGATCGCACCGGTGTTGCGTCTCGACCTTGGTGACGAGCAGGCGCGCGAGCTTGTCGTGCAAATGCTAGAAAATCCCAGTTGTGCCTACGTTCATGTTTCTCCCCCAGCCTTGAACCAGAAACATCGCAGTTTGAAGCACCGTGATGGTGCCGATGCTTCATGCTATTCAGCCTCGTGTAGCTTGTTGTACGAGTTCTGCGGGAAGCTCTTTAGCATGTGCTGGTCCAAAGGCATTCTCTTTTCTTGCGAAAACCCTGGACAGTCAGAGCTGTGGCGAACGCCACAGTGGTGCAAGCATACGTTGTGTTTAAATTCCATTGATACTGTTTTTCACATGTGCATGTGGGGATCTCTCAGCCCTCGTTTCACACGCATTGTTCATTCTGTGCCTTCGCTAACGCAGCTGGGTGTTCGTTGTTGCGGTGTAAGTTCCAGCCACACGCATGAGTCCCGGAACGTGCTTCATGACTCCACATTCCCCCTAGATCTCAGTCGTGCGTGGGCAAATGCAATTGTGGAGCAACTTGTTGCTTTGGGCGCCCTGCCTCGTGCGCGCTCCTTGGATGAGTCTCGAGCTCCCCTACACCGTGAAGCCCAGGTGGCAGCAGCTTCACAGCCAACACGCAAGAAGGTACCTCCTCTTGTTAGTGAATTTCGCTGCGTGGCGACAATTGACACGCCCAAGCCTTTTCTTGACACAGCTTCCAAGAAACTTGAGGGGCCAATTCCCATCCCTGCGGGTGCCAAGTGTGATACTACGTTGACCGTGCTACCGGCAGGTTCTCGCGTCATTCGCAGGCAGTTGCTGGGGGTGAGTTCGCCTGCTTTGAAGCTCGATGTAGGGTCGGAAACTAGCAATCCCACTAGCAGCCGTGTAGCTTCTGTTCCTGAAGTAAGCAAGCCCAGGCCTGATCGAGTGCAAGTGTGTTCTGAAGCCACTCATCCCGCAGAGGTTTTTGCTGCATCGTGCCTAAAGCTGGGGTATATCGACCCGGGAAAAATTTCCGAGTTCACTCAACTTCTTGAGTCGGAGCTTCCGGCCAGGGGGGATGGAGGTCAGCACGAATTTTCCTTCACGGTGGGATCCTTTGTTCATGGCGGTATTTATGGGCTTAGAACTTCTTCGGTTAACTTTCCGCTGACAACTCAGGTCCTTGCAAGGTTCATGCGCCAGCAGTGCCCAGACGCTGTTTTCACGAGCCTGGCTTTGATGAGGGATGTGCAAACAACATTACACATCGACACGAACAATTCATTACCCTACCTGAACACTGTGGCGAAGGTCACCAATTTCGAGGAAGGGGGTTTGTGGGTTCACAACGATCACGGCGACATGCCTTGCCCTGATGCAAATTTTGGGCAGCTGATGGGAACGAAGGTCGACTTCGAAAACGGAGTTATCAGGTTCGATTCGCATCTTAAGCATTGCACACTCCCGTGGGTCAAGGGGCCCCGTGTGGTTCTTATAGGGTTTGTCGTGAAGGGTCCCGAGTTGATGCCATCGGACTTAGTTAGTAACCTTGTCGCTTGTGAGTTCAACATGCCGGATGAACCCCTTGTGCAGCCTCTCCCCAACGAGGAACACTCCTCACCGGCAGGGCCCGAGGAGTCCCATTGGCATAGGGTTGTAGTAGGCATCCCATGGTTACCCGAAGAGTTCATCGGTAAAGCCCTGGAGGCTACGCACCCGAGGCACTTGATGACAGGCATCCCATCCGAACTAAAGTCCACAATCGATCAGCTTGTAACCCTACCGTTTGGGTTCCCCAAAAGGATTGTCTCGTGGTTTGAGCCGGGAGGGTGGGCCGGGGGAAAAGTGAAAAACTTTGCGTCAGGCTTCGCGCCGCTTGGAAAGTACTTTGGTAATTTCGTAGTTTGCAATGCCATGAGTTCCTCTTGCTTGTCTGCACTAACTGCGTTTTGCTTGAGCTCAGATCAACTGTACGAATGTCGTTGCCATTTTGGCACGAGGACAAATTTTGTGTGTGAGGGGCGGGTAGACCTGCGGCTCGATAGGCATGGGCAGCGAGCTCAGCAGCAGTCGGCATGAAGAGACATGCCGATTGGTCGGCGCTGCATGGTCTTGATCCTGCATTGATTGCTGCTATCCGTGAGAGTTATTCGAGCATTGTGCATTTTGATGGGGCTTTTGATGATGAGGGTGAAGCAGCAAATACAGTGGAAGAGCTCCTTGGGGATAAGAAGCCAGCTGAAGAAATCAACAAGTTGGCAAGCAGCTTGTGGAACTGGAAGGAAAAGCGGTTGCATCGTGGGCCGTCAAGTGTTCGCATTTTGCAGGAGCACATCCGCGAGCTTCCGGTGAAGGTTCCAAGAAAGATGAGGGACATCACAGCGGTGTTTGAAGACGAGGTGCAAATGACTCCAGCTGTTGCGTTGTCGCAATTGAAGAGGGCTGTGAGAACTTCAAAGGCGAGTGGGAGCCGGGAAGAGATGGAAACGAAGATCCGTGAAAGATGGGCGATGCAGCTCGTAGTGTATATCAAGGAAGCAGAGTTGCCTTGCTCAGAACGCCTGGAAGCACTGGGCGACAGCAAGGCGACGTGGTTGAGGATCTTTGGAAATCGGCGAGGCAAAACACTTCGGAATCGGGCGCGTTCTTGGATGCCAGTGAGAGAATGGCTAATGGTGACTGCTGGGGCACCGTGGCCGGCAGATGTGGGACAAATCCTGAAATATCTTGAGGAGCGACATGCTGTGAAGGCGATGGGGAAGACAGTGCCGCGGGCAATATTGGCGAGCATCTCTCTTCTTGAAGTTGTGGGAATGGTTCCGTCTGAGCGGCGGCTGTGTGAAGACCAGCTCTTGCTTGAAACGATTCGGTCATGGAGTGCTGAGCTTGAGACTGGTGCACCACCGGCCAAACCAGCGCCAATGCTGCCCGTGGTGGTGCTGCTAGCTTGCGAGCTGGTGGTTTGCCGGCCCAGCTACGAGGTGGGATTGCGATACATGGCTTTCATCTTGCTGTTGATGTGCTGGGCCAGCCTGAGAGCTGATGACGTGCAAAACATCAGTCCTACGTCTGTGAAGCTCAGCCAGGTGGGTCTGCGATTCGTTTTGAATAAGACTAAAACGAGTGGACCGGGCCGCAAGGTTGGGGAACTTCATGGATTTGTCTCTCGCGCTGCTTGCTTGAGTGGGTTTGACTGGATTATGGAAGGGCACAAGCTTCTCTCTGCTGAACTGCTCGCATGGCCTCGTGATTTTCTCTGTCCTGCATTCACGAAAGACTGGGACGGGGCTTCAAAGGAATACATGGAGGCAGAAGGGCTGGCATTGCAGATCAGACGTTTCCTTCAGCATCTCCCCACTCCTGTCAGGCAGCAGGGAATCTGGAAAGTTTCGAGAGAGCTCTTGTTGCCAGGTCAGATGGCAAATTACTGGTCAGGGCACAGCGCGAGGCATGTGCTGACAAGCTTGGCAGCAGCACTAGGCATAAGCAAGGATCGGCGGGACTATCTAGGCCGATGGGCCTACGCACAGCATGGTTCGCAGGACTATGTGCTGACTTCGAGGCAGGTGGTGCAAGCAGTGCAGAACTTTGTTTGCAAGAGCCTGCTGATCGGAAGTCCGGAGGGAGGCTACATCGAGGAAGAGCTTCTCTTCTCGATAAAGACTTTTGCTGAGGGCCTGGGGCTTGAGAGTGTTGCAATCCTGAATGCGTGCACTGTCTTGAAATGGGATGAAAGTGAAGAGACCTTCAAGCTAGGGGGCGCGTTCCCCAGCATCCCGTTGGGGCCTGAACGGGTCCGGGCTTCAGCAGGCGATCTTGATGCAGAGTTGCCTGGGCCTTATGAGGCATTTGAAGGCGGGGAAGATACTGATGAGGCTCCGTACTTCATCACCGTCTCCAGGCGGGGTTTCCGCCGTCTTCACTTGTCAAAGAGGTGTGCGGTGAGACGGGAGAACTGCCTTGAGACCATACCGGTCATGAAACTGACCGAGGGCATTGCTGATGCTGTATGCAAGTTGTGTCGCCCAAAGATTGAGAGCTGCGATGATTCATCCACTAGCGGGTCGGAGGACTCGCAGGAAGGGCAAGGGACTGAGCCAGAAGCGCTTGAGCCATCAGTGCCGAGTTTTACTTGATGAAGCTGTGTTCTTGAAAAGGGTTCGGGGAGAGCCTGCTGAGTTTACAGACTGCAGGTGGAAGCAGTGCATTGTGAACAGTTCATGAGCTTGCTGCGGGTGGAATGCAGCAGAATGATAGAGTGATGCCGGTGGAAGTGCATCACCATGAATCGGAAGTCCTTGCCCGGCGGAAGGCACTCAAGCTTCAGTCATGCAATTGGATGAACATGCATGTTAGATGTCAACTGAGCTTGCGTGTGCAGAGGCTTTGAGAACGGCTTAAGTTATCCTGCGTTGCACTGCTCATAAGTCCGTTGTTGAGTCCAGGAACAAGTCCAGCATGGCCGCACCTCCGCCGACTGAGTTGCCGGCGGGAACCACCGAGGCAGCTGCTCTGGATTTCTTGGATAAAGAGGTCAGCTCCGATTTGGTGCACATCTTTCAAGAATGTGGTGTACCATTGGGGTTACAGTTTCGGCTGGCACAGAACTTCAAGAATGTGAAGCGTTTTTCGACTTATGCTGACACTCGTGCTGACGTGAGAGTTGCATTAAAGGATGATCACTTGCTGGAGGCAACCAATCAGGCGAGCAGAGCGGCGGTTGCTTCTGTTGTTTCTGCGTGGGAGACTTCGAAGGATTATGCCAGCAAGGAGTCCGAGCTAAGAGCTGAGGCACGCATGCTGGGAGTGAGTCGGCCAGTCACTCAGAC